GGGGGTGGAGGCGGGGCCGGCGCGTGCGCCGCGGGCGCGCGGGTTGCGTAACGGGAGGGACGTTCTGGAAGGTTCTGCGGCCGCCCTCAGTCGCTGGCGGGCGGCGGCGGCAGCAGCGGGCGGAGGCGGCTCCTGGCTGCGGTTCTGTCGCGCTTCTATCGCCGATCGCGGCTGGCGCAGCGGGCCCGGCGCTATGGGGGTGACTCACGAAGCGGGGCTCTCCCCTCAGGACCCGTGCGGGGGCAGCCCGGCGGGCTGGAGCCGGTGAGGCGGCGGGCCGGAGCGGGGAGAGGCGGGAGAGGCCGATCGCGGTGGCCGCTGCCGAGCGAGGGCTGTGGGTCTCTCACGGATGGGATTTTATGGGTTTTTATTTCTTTTGTTCCAGGAGCGCGCAGGTGCCTCAGGGGAACCAGCGCGGGGCGTGCCCGGCAGCGCCCAGCGGTGAGTGAGGGACCGTGAAGGACCGTGAGGGGCCCTGAAGGACCGTGGGGGACCCTGAGGGACCCTGAGGGGCCGTGGGGGACCCTGAGGGGCCGTGAGGGACCAAATAAGCCCGTGAGGGGCCCTGAGGGACCCTGAGGGCTCGGGGGTCCGGGACGGGGCCGAACACGGGCCGGGAGGGGTTTGGCGATGGCAGGCGGCCCTTGGGGATTTCTCTTCTTACCGTCCCGGCAGTGTGACCTTGGCTCTGGCGTAGAGGTGAAGTAGTGAAACTTTACCTGGAGTAGTAGCGAGAGAAGCGCGTCTGACAATTCTCCCACAGCTTATATTTCAGACAGATTTCAGTGCGGGGGTTGGATTTGTTGCCACCGAGCGCTAAATAGAAATTCCGTGTCAGAGCAAGCTTCCCTAAACTGTAAACTGGTTACGTAACTCTGGGCTTAAGTCTTGTGATAAGATCCTTACCCCGAGTAACCTTTGTAGCCATAAAATGGCTGCCACTCCAGGGACAGCCATTTTAATTATTAATATAAGAATTACTGCGTCCTGTGCGAGTCACGGCCACTGAATCATCACCGGGCTTTGCACGGAGCGTTTTTAACAGCAGCTTGTTGCATGCCCTGCTGGGATCTGTGGGGCTGTGTGCCACGAGTTTTATGGCAAGATACAGGCAAGGTCTTAGCTGCTTTATACTTAGAAGATACTTTCATTTCCCCTTGTTGGAGTAAAAACCTGTGTGGAATTGTAGCAGAAAATTCTTGTCTTTTAACAGCAGCTTGTTGCATGCCCTGCTGGGATCTGTGGGGCTGTGTGCCACGAGTTTTATGGCAAGATACAGGCAAGGTCTTAGCTGCTTTATACTTAGAAGATACTTTCATTTCCCCTTGTTGGAGTAAAAACCTGTAGCAGAAAATTCTTGTTTTTGTACTGAGTTGCAGGCAAGCAGTTATTTTGTATCGTAGATACGATGGGCTGTGTTTAGGCTAGATGGAAGATAAAACACCTTGAAAATTCTTTTCAAGAAGATCAGGATTTTCCTCCTTTTTGGAGGAAAAAAGGCGCTGCAAAAGGAATTACACTTAAAACCCACAGACTTACATCTCTCCAAAATTCCACGCAGAACCGCTCATGGTTTAAACTGAAGCCTTTCATTTTTCACACAACTTTGTGCTTCGGTTTTGTGGCTGAGTGCAGGAGAGGGAATTACAGAGCTGAGCTGTCTCCGGAAGATGTCTGGAGGTTGTTGGGTTGTTTAATTCCTTGCGTTTCAGGCAGGAGAGGGAATTACAGAGCTGAGCTGTCTCCGGAAGATTGTCTGGGGTTGTTGGCGTGTTTAATTGCGTTTCAGTTTTGTGGCTGAGTGCAGGAGAGGGAGCTGCAGAGCTGAGCTGTCTCCGGAAGGTGGTTGAGGTGTTTGATATCCCTGGCCTCGCTGCCTGTGTGTCACGGTGTTGCTGTAAACGCTGAGCTCGCCTCTCTCTCCCCAGGCACGGAGACGGGGCACTGCAGAGCAGCAGCCGCAGCCGAGGCAGCGGCTGGCGGTGCCCAGAAGGGCAGCGCTGCTCGGACGGCCGACATGACGGAGTTCATGGATGACCTGACGCTGGGCTCTCCCAAGCGCAGCGACTCCCCGGCGCGCTCCCGCTCGCGGCGCAGCTGCGCCCGCTCCTCCAGCCGCTCCTCCAGCCGCTCCTCGCGCAGCTCCAGCTCCAGCAGCTCCTCCAGCCGCTCCTCTCGCAGCTGGAGCCGCTCCCGGTCCCGCTCCCGGCGGCGCGGCTCCCGGCGCTCGCGGCGCCGCTCCCGCTCCTACTCGCGCAGCCGCTCGCGCTCCCGCGGCTCCCGGCGCTACCGCGGCCGCTACCGGCCCCGGCACTACCGGCACCGCTACCGCCGGCAGCGCTCCCGCTCCTGGTCCCGCGGCAGGGCCTGCTACCGCCGCTCCTACTCCAGGAGCCGCTCCCGCTCCCGGGGCAGGCGCTACTACGGCTTCGGCAGAACCATCTACCCCGAGGCCTACCGCGGCTGGAAGAGCCGCTCCCGCACGCGCTCCCGGAGCAGGTCGCCTCTGCACCTCAGTGAGAAAGGTACTTGGGGTTTGTGAGGCCTGAAAAGGGGTTTTGTTTGAACCGGGGAGATTCTCCTTTGCTTGCTTGGTTTGTAAAGCCCAAGTGAAGGAAAACCTCAGTGTGGGGAAAAATGTATTTAATAAAAATTGGTTTTAGAATGTTAATTGGCACGGGGGACAGGCTGTGATGAGATGAGTCCCAGCTGATGATTAAGATGCAAAACCTGCAGGTTTTAGGTTTGAGGAGGTACACGTGGATTTTAACATTACACAAACCACTTTTTTTATTCCTTCCTCTTGTAGACAAGAGGGAACTCCTGGAAATTGCAAAAGCCAATGCTGCCAAAGCTCTGGGAACAGACAACATTGTCCTGCCAGCGAGCCTGAAGATCTCTGCTCCTGCCAAGGAGATCAAAACTGAGAAGCAGGAGCGAGAGGAAGCCACGGAGTCAGCTGAGGTAAGTATGGAGTGTTCTCCCTGCAAAGGTAAACACCTCTTAGACTTGTCTGCATGGCTGGGCTCTGGTTCACCTGTGGAGGTTGTGCTTACGAGCTCAAACTCTTGAACAAAAACTTGTCCAGAAACCTCGAGGCTTTGCCTTAAGCTGGAAGCAGAGGCCCTCTCTGAGGTGGTTGATCCCCTGAGTGTCCAGTAGGGACAGCTGGGGAAGGAGAGGAGACTTGTTCCTTTGACTTGTTCTCCTCATGGGATATTTCCCATGAATTCCACTAGTTTATGCATTTCTGACCTAAAATCAGGAGTGTCCTTGCCAAACCTAGTGAATAGTCTTGGGTTATTTTTTAATTTTTTTTAAGGTTAAATCTTTCTGCATTTTTTAACTGTTAAAAGCTTTTCATGTGCAACAAACTGTTTCCCAGAAATTCCATACCCAAGCACACAATGCATTTTACATACTTTATTTCTGTCTTATAGAAATCATGACTATGGTTCCAGACATGAGGAAGAAAATCTGGTGGTAATTAAGGGACTTTGTGGGCTGTAGCTGCTGTGAATTGAAGGGAGGGAGAAACTGGAGCAGCTTAAAGTGAATTTTAGTTTGGTTCTGTCGTGGTGTGTTACCCTGAGTCACAGTAAATACAAACCTGCAGCCGCTGCCTGGCGCGGGTGCTGCTCTTGGAAAGGGAAGTGAATTTGCTGAGGGTTTGACACAAACGGTCCAGGCATCCCTTTCATAAACATATGCAATATATTCCAGATGTTGAGAGAGTACAGAAGAAGAGGCCTGCATCCCTTGCAGATAAGTTTATTGTTGTTCTCCAAGATGGGCGTGCAGAGCTGCTGCCCTCGCTGTGTCCCTGCTCTGCTGTCACGGGGCCTGAGCTGCCTCCGTTCCCGGGAGTGGGCACAGCTCTGGGGCTGCCTGTGCTCCGTGGCTCAGCACTGCTGTGCTGTGGCTGTGCAGCTCCTTTAGATGAGATACTGAACCACTCCACAGACAGCTGTGCTGTGCAGGACTGCTGCCCTGGGTCGGGGATCCCCTCCTGAGCTGTGTCTGCTCTTCTTTAGCAACCCGGGAGTGCAGCTGAGGACGGGAGCAAGGCTGGCATGGAGAGAGCAACCATCCAGAGGAGCATTTCCTTCAGCCCTAATGTGAGTGATGCAGTCCCAGCACTGCAGCCCTCCTGGCTTGAGCTTTTCCCAAATAATCATCTCAGTAATGATAACAAAAAGAATTTAATGTTTGCAATTTAATGATTTCCATGCAGGAGGTGGTAGAGCACTCTGAGTACACCTCAGCAAACGTGTTCACCCTCAATCTGAACAATTCAAAACTAGAACTGGTTTAAAACACAGCTTATCTCAAGTTACATTTTCAGTAAAGCAGACTCAGCATTCAGGGATTTCTCCTGTGTTAAGTGATTGATACCCAGTGTAAGCATCAGGAATTGCAGGAGCTGGAGAGAAAACATTTATATGATTTATATGATCAGCACAGATAAACCCCTTGGTTTTAACCCCTTTTCTTACAGGAAATGTCTTTTTTTTTCCCCAGAACACAATGGCCAAGCCTGCCCTGCAGAAGCCAGTGAGCCACGTTGTGGTTAAGGAGCCAGTGGTTTCTCCACCCAGGGAGGATGACAGGAAGGGAAGCCCCTATGGGCAGTGGGTTCCTGTCAAGAAGGAGGAGAAGAAAACATTCCTGAACTTTTCACCCAAAAGCTCCCTGTGCCGGGCACGCTGATGGGAGTCCCTGTCAGACTGCAGCACTCACCCCCTCAGCACAGAGAGGGAGGTTTCTGATGGGCTTGAAGACTTGTTAATACTGAGTATTTATTTTGAGGTCTTAATTTTTGGAATCTTAGGTTTCTCTTTCAGATAGAGAGCACACAGATCCAGAAGCCACAGATGGGAATCTTGTGTATATTTGTAAATATTTTATATTGCTTTATTGGACTAGAACTTGCAGGTGGGTAACTTTTTCTAAACCGTAGTCGAGTAGCTGTTCTTTGAACACCTGGATTTACTTTGTGTAACTGTTTACTTAAGTGAATAAAGTTTAGTTTTGCACTGGCTGTGTCAGGTGTTGGGCCTGAGCTCTTGTGGTTGTTTCTGGGTTCAGCTTGCAGCTCCTCTCTCGAGGTAACACAGGAGAGCTGAAAGGATCCTGCCTCCATCGAGGCCTCTTCCCTGGCTCCCCTCGGGCCCTGGGGAGTGTGCAGGAGGGGTGGCTGGGCCCAGTCCCACCGTCCCTTCTGCTCTAACTCCACCTGCTACAGGGTTGTGTTTATTGGGTTTGGGATCAGCCTCCCTGTGAGGCAGGAAGGGAAAGGAGTTCAGGAACACAATGACTGGGACTGGGAGTAACTGGTTAAACCTGGGTTTTGTATAAATAATAGTAATAATAAATTATTAATAAAATAAACTGAATTGACTGCTGGTGTCTGAAAGCTTAAGAAACCCTTGAAGGAGTGGGAGGAGCCCGTGTCCATCCTGTCCCTGTGGGTGAGGCTGGACAGCTGCACTGCCAGGGGAATCCCACCCTGGAATTGCTGAGGGATGGGGGAATCCCACCTTGAATGGCTGCAGGGGCAATCCCCACCCTTGGAATTCCTGCTGGGGGGAATCCCACCTTGGAATTGCTGAGGGCCAGGGGCGAGCTGCCTTTCCGTGGGAAGGTCACTGCTCTTCATCCTGCTGGCACACAAACCTGAGGAACAGACACCAACTCCCAAATTAGAGCAAAGAGTTTATTCAGAGCACGGAAGGCAGAAAGAACCTGGCTCCTCCTGCAGCCGAAGCTATTTACAGCTGAGTTCTGCACAGTGCTCAGCACACTAAGCACCACTGAGCTACTTTTGATACAACTTAAAACAGAAAATGGCAACAGAGGAGCCAGGAGCGAGCTGAGCCAGGCAGGCTCACAGGGCCCAGGCTCAGTTTGAGCTGAGCCGTGCCAGGCAGGCTCACACGGCCGTGCCCCTCTCCAGGCTCCGGGTGAGCCGGGCCAGGCAGGCTCACACGGCCGTGCCCCTCTCCAGGCTCCGGGTGAGCCGGGCCAGGCAGGCTCACACGGCCGTGCCCCTCTCCAGGCTCCGGGTGAGCCGGGCCAGGCAGGCTCACACGGCCGTGCCCCTCTCCAGGCTCCGGGTGAGCCGGGCCAGGCAGGCTCACACGGCCGTGCCCCTCTCCAGGCTCCGGGTGAGCCGGGCCAGGCAGGCTCACACGGCCGTGCCCCTCTCCAGGCTCCGGGTGAGCCGGGCCAGGCAGGCTCACACGGCCGTGCCCCTCTCCAGGCTCCGGGTGAGCCGGGCCAGGCAGGCTCACACGGCCGTGCCCCTCTCCAGGTTCTGTTTGATCTCAGCCGTGTATTTCCCGTAGAACCTCTCGGCCTTCTGGTTGAACTTGGCGTTCCTCTCGTTGATGTAGTCGATGTCGGCGTCGTCGTTGTAGGGCCGCCTCCGGCTGTACTTCTCCCTCTTCTCGATCCTGGGGGGCAGCAGGGGCTGAGCCCCGGGCCTGCAGCACCCCCAGCCCCTGCCCTCCCCTCTGCCCCCGTACTCACTGCTTCTCCAGGTCTGCCACCATCCTGTCCACGCCCTCCTTGGAGGGCACGTGTGTGCCGTGCAGGAGGCTGTCCGAGGTGGGGTACAGGGCCTCCCCGCTGTGGGCACACACGGGCAGCGCTCACACCCCTGCCCGTGCTGCGGCTTCTCAGACTCCCAGGAGGGACCTCAAAGCCCCTCCAGTGCCCCCCCTGCACTTTCCATCCTCCCAAATTGCTCCAAGCCCTGGCCAGCCTGGCCTTGGATACTTCAGGGATCCAGGGGCAGCCACAGCTCTCGGGGAAGTCTCTGCCAGGCCCTCAACACCCTCACAGGGAGGAATTTCTTCCCAATATCCAACCTAAATCTCCCCTCTTCCACTCTGAAGCTCTCACCCCTTGTCCTGTCCCTCCGCACCCTCGTGGTTTCCCTGTTCTTGCCTGAGCTCCTTCTCACACCTCACTGAGCTGTGGCAACCCCAGCTCCAGATGACAAATGTCAACATTAAACCCAACAGAGGGACCAGCAGGTGCCTCTGGAAGACACAGAACCCTCAGAAATACCAAATCTGTCTGAATGCAAACTGGGCCAGCCTCAGTCCTTAAACCGAGCTTAAAAACCCCAAACCCCGCTGCAGGAGAAGTGCCCGATGACAGAAACGTGACCTAACTGGGCGAGCATTTCCTCCAGCTCAGCAGCGCCAGGCTGGAAGAAATTAACTCCTTAATTACCCCACGTGAAGCAATTAACAACAGAACACGCGAGCAGAGAGCACCAGGAGGGACTGCAGAGCTGCTGCCCCCCCGGGCGCCGGCCCCGCACTCACCACTGCTCCTTGAGCTTCTCGTACTGCTCCAGGTCGGGCTTGATCTGCCGGGTGAGCCGCTGGTACTGGCGCAGCTGCGCGGCCGCGAAGTCTGGGGGAGAGAGCGCGGCGGGCGCGGCACCGGGCTCACGGCTCACGGCATGGATGGGTGCTCATGTCATGGATTGGTGGATCATGTCATGGATTGGAGGATCATGTCATGGATTGGTGGCTCATGTCATGGATTGGTGGATCATGTCATGGATTGGTGGCTCACGGCATGGATTGGTGGCTCATGTCATGGATTGGTGGCTCATGTCATGGATTGGAGGCTCACGTCATGGATTGGAGGCTCACGTCATGGATTTATGGCTCACATCATGGATGGGTGGATCACGTCATGGATTGGAGGCTCAGGGCATGGATGGGTGGCTCATGTCATGGATTTGTGACTCATGTCATGGATTTGTGGCTCATGTCATGGATTGGTGGCTCACCGCATGGATTGGAGGCTCATGTCATGGATTGGAGGCTCAGGGCATGGATGGGTGGCTCATGTCATGGATTTGTGACTCATGTCATGGATTTATGGCTCACGGCATGGATTGGTGGCTCATGGCATGGACTGGTGGCATTATTTCATGGATTGGTGGCATTATTTGATGGATTTGTGGCTCATTTCATGGATTTGTGGCTCATTGGTGGCTCACCGCATGGATTGGAGGCTCATGTCATGGATTGCTGGCATTATTTTATGGATTTTATGGCTCATTTGATGGATTTTATAGCTTATTTTATAGCATATTTTATGGATTTTCTAGCATTGTTTTACGTATTTTATAGCATTATTTTTCTATATTTTATAGCATTATGTTTTCATATTTTATAACATTATTTTATGTATTTTATAGCATACTTTATGTATTTTATAGCATTGTTTTTGTATATTTGATAGCATTATTTTTCATATATTATAACATTATTTTATGTATTTTCTAGCATTATGTTAATTATTTTAATATATTTTATAGCATAATTTTTACATATTTTCTAACATGATTTTATATATTTTCTAGCATTATTTTTTGTATTTCCTAACATTATTTTGATATGCTTTACAGCATTTTTAATATATCTTATAGCATTATTTTCTAGTTTTACAGCATTATTTAATATATTTTATAGCATTATTTTCTATCTTCTATAGCATTATTTTAATCTACTTCACAGCATTATTTTATGTATTTTATAGGATTATTCAATATATTTTATAGTACTTTTAATATACTTTATAGCATTATTTTAATATATTTTACAGCATTATTTTAATCTATTGTACAGCACTATTTTAATCTATTTTATATCATTTTAATCTATTTTATATCATTTTAATCTATTTTATATAATTTTTACTATCTTTTCTAGCAGAGCTGGCCCAAACCAGCCCCTCCCAGGCGCGGGGTCTCACCTGAGAATCCCAGGTCGGGGTTCTTCCTCTTCCTCTTCCTCTCCCACCTCTCGGCGTCCTCGGCGCTCACCTGCAGCAGCTTCACGCGCTCGTAGTCCTCGCCCCTGGCGGCGCACTCCTGGGGACAGCGGCCAGCCCAAACCCGGCCTGGGTGAGCCTGGCCTGGGTGAGCCTGGCCTGGCTGATCCTGGCCTGGGTGAGCCTGGCCTGGGTGAGCCTGGCCTGGCTGAACCCGGCCTGGGTGAGCCTGGCCTGGCTGAACCCGGCCTGGCTAAACCGAGCCTGGCTGATCCTGGCCTGGCTAATCCTGGCCTGGCTAAAACCCGGCCTGGCTGAACCCGGCCTGGGTGATCCTGGCCTGGCTAAACCCGGCCTGGCTAAACCGAGCCTGGCTGATCCTGGCCTGGCTAATCCTGGCCTGGCTAAACCCGGCCTGGCTGAACCTGGCCTGGCTAAACCCAGCTCTGCACAGCTTCACCCGCTCGTAGTCCTCGCCCCTGGTGGCGCACTCCTGGAGCACAGAGGCCAGCCCAGCCTGGCTGAACCTGGCCTGGCTGATCCCGGCCTGGCTGAACCCAGCCTGGCTAATCCTGGCCTGGCTAAACCCAGCCTGGCTAATCCTGGCCTGGCTAAACCCGGCCTGGCTAAACCGAGCCTGGCTGAACTGAGCCTGGCTGAACCCGGCCTGGCTGATCCTGGCCTGGCTGATCCCGGCCTGGCTGATCCTGGCCTGGCTGATCCCGGCCTGGCTGATCCTGGCCTGGCTAAACCCGGCCTAGCTAATCCTGGCCTGGCTGAACCCGGACTGGGTGATCCCGGCCTGGCTAATCCCAGCTCTGCACAGCTTCACCCGCTCACAGTCCTCGCCCCTGGCGGCGCACTCCTGGGGACAGCGGCCAGCTCGGCCTGGCTGAACCTGGCCTGGGTAATCCTGGCCTGGCTAAACCCGGCCTGAGTGAGCCTGGCCTGGCTGAACCCGGCCTGGTGATCCTGGCCTGGCTAATCCCAGCTCTGCACAGCCCAGCCTGGCTGATCCCAGCTTTGGGAATCCCAGCCTGGCTGAACCTGGCCTAATCCCAGCCTGGCTGATCCCGGCTCTGCACAGCCCAGCCTCGCTAATCCCAGCCCAGCCCAGCCTTGCTAATCCCAGTGCAGGGTGACAGGAGTTAATCAGCACAGGGATCTGGGGTGGCAATCAGCAGTGAATCAGCCCAGGGACCCAGTCTGTGCAAGGCTGGCAGTGTGTCCCTGCACCCCCCGGGGCAGTTTTTTACCTTCTTCTTCTCCTGCACCTGCAGCTCCCACTCCAGCCGAGCTTTTTTAGCTTCCCAGTTCGGGGGCAACTTCAGCCTCTTGTCCTCCTCCACCACCTCCTGGCTGTTCAGCTTGCAGGCCTCGTACTGGAACCAGACAGGCAAAACTCGAGCAGAGAGAGAGAGAAACCCCAAAACCCGGGGGGCACGAACCCAAACGGAACAACCCCGAACCCTGCCGGGGCACGAACCCACACCGAACGCCCCCAGAGCAATCAGGGCCCTGCAGATCGCCCAGCTCGACCCCCAGCGCCAACCGGGCAGTGTTTGGGCTCGGTTCTGGTCCCGTCCCCCGTACCCGCTTCATGTGGAGCTCCCGGAACCGGCGCAGCCGCTCCTCCCGTCTCTGCTCCGCCGCCGCCGCCGCGGAAGGGCCGGGCTCGGCCTCCTCCTCCTCCTCTTCCTCCTCGCTCTGCAACGTCCCGCACTCAGCCAGGAGCTCCAGGAGGAGCCGGGACCCCCGTCCCGCCCGATCCCGACCCCGCCTCACCCCAACATCGGCCTCGGGCACCCCCAGGCTGCTGAGGGCCGACACCGTCGCCGCCATCGCGCCCCGCCTGCACTTCCGCCTTCCGGTGCTGCTGGTACTTCCGGCTTCCGGCGCGTCCTGCCTGGCGCGTGCTGCCTGGCGCCCCCCAGCGGGCGGGAGGTGCTGCCGCCGCTGGATCCCGGAATTCTCCCAAAATCCGCAAAATCCCTCAGGAGACCCAAAACAGGGCAACGTTACAGGAGGAAAAAAAAAAAAAAAAAAGTTTTGTTGCAAATTCTGTGCGAAGAAAGTTCAGTTTTCCATGGCCGGGCTCTCCCGCCTCACACGGAAATTTATTATGAATTTATCCTGCATTGCTATGAACCATGTCTGTGAAGCGTTTCCTGCACAGGGCAGGAAAGGAGGGCTGGGGATGTTCTGTTTCCTTTGAAGGAAGGCTCCCAGAGCCTTCGGGTGGGTGCTGAGCGGCTTTGCAGCGGAGCCGCGGCCGCCCAGCAGAGGGAAGCGCAGCCCCGGCCATGAGCTGTGCCCTCAGCTCCGCTCCCTTGGGTTAACAACACCCCACAACACCTTTGCCCCCTCGGCTCCGCTTCCCTGAGGTTAAAACCACCCCAGAACCCCTCTGCCCCCTCAGCGGTGCTCTCCTGTGCTGCCCAGCCCCGGCCATGAGCTGTGCCCCTCAGCTCCGCTCTTCTCCTCCGGTAAGGGGTTAAAAACACCCCGGGACCCCTCTGCCCCCTCAGCTCCGCTGCCAAGGGGTTAAAAACACCCCGGGACCCCTCTGCCCCCTCAGCTCTGCTGACAAGGGGTTAAAAACACCCTGGGACCCCTCTGCCCCCTCAGCTCTGCTGTTAAAAACACCCCAGAACACCTCTGTCCCCTCAGATCTGCTACCAAAGGATTAAAAACACCCCAGAACCCCTCTGCCTCCTCAGCTCCACTGCCGAGGGGTTAAAACCACCACAGAACCCCTCTGCCTCCTCAGCTCCGCTTCCCTCCTCTGATAAGGGATTAAAAACACCCCAGAACCTCTCTGCCCCCTCAGCTCCGCTTCCCTCCTCTGATAAGGGATTAAAAACACCCCAGAACCTCTCTGCCCCCACAGCTTCACTGCCGAGGGGTTAAAAACACCCCAGAACTCCTCTGTCCCCTCAGCTCTGCCCTCCTCTGCTGCCCAGCCCCGGCCATGGGCGGCCCTGCCCGGCCTGTGCCCCTCAGCTCTGCTTCCCTCCTCTGCTGAGGGATTAAAAACACCCGAGAACCACTCTGCCCCCTCAGATCTGCTACCAAAGGATTAAAAACACCCCGGAACCACTCTGCCCCCTCAGATCTGCTACCAAAGGATTAAAAACACCCCAGAGCAGGGGATTGGAGCGAGGGGGAGCGGGTTTAGGGGGGGAAAGGAGAGAGTGTCCCACTGGGGTTTGGGGTTTTTTGGGGGTTTGGGGTCTCCCCTCACCTGAGCCCTCTCCACATCCCCAGGCTGTGATGGGGTTTGTTGGATTTCCAGGGAGAAAATTCCTTGGATTTCCAAAGGGCCACCATGCCAGGATGGAGACACCAGGTGCGTCCTGTGCAGGATTTTTAATAAATACGTTTAAATATTTGTAATAAATCCCTACTTTACTCCTTTAACTCTGCCCATCCCCTGTTCCAGGTGCTCTCTCCAGCCATCACTGCTGTGGGTGCTCAGCCTGGCCTGGCCCAGCAGGGAATTGTCCCAAATCCCCAAATCCCAGAGCTCCTGCAGGGCTGACAGCGAGCACAGCCAGGGCTGCTCTGGCTGGCACTGACAGTGGATGTATTTTTAGATTTTAGAGTGTTTGTGTTTCTCAGAGCTGCCTCCATTGTCTCCTCCAGCTCTGCCTCCCCTGCAGGGCCGAAATGAAATGAAAAATTCCAGTTCCATGTCGAACAGGGGCTGGAGCTCGGAGGAACTGACTCATCTCGGGTGGATTTGGGCCTCTTGAAGGGGAACGTCCTGGCCAGGGCTGGGGAGCAGCATCCTTTATCTCCCCGAGCTCTTATCAGGGACCTCAGGGTGCAGCTCCTGGGCTGGGGAAAGGAGAGGCCTGGGAGGTTCCCGGAAAAATAATGGGAAAATAATGGAAAAGTAATGGTGGCAGCGTGACAGAGGTGACAGAGCCTGAGACCCCACAGGTGTGACCCCTTGCCCTGGGGACAGGGATATGGAGGGCTTGAGTGTGCAGTGCTGTGACTTGGGTGTGCAATTCCAGGGTTTGGGTGTGCAATTCCAGGGTTTGGGTGTGCAGTTCCATGGTTTGAATGTGTAATTCCAGGGTTTGGGTGTGCAGTTCCGTGGTTTGAATGTGTAATTCCAGGGTTTGGGTGTGCAGTTCCGTGGTTTGAGTGTGCAATTCCATATTTTGGGTGTGCAATTCCATATTTTGGGTGTGCAATGCCACAATCCAGACCTGCAGTGCCACACCTTGGACCTGCACCACAATGGGTCACAATTTTGAGTGTGCAATTCCAGGGTTTGGTTGTGCAATTCCAGGGTTTGTGTGTGCAATTCCAGGGTTTGAGTATGCAATTCCAGGGTTTGGATGTGCAGTTCCATGGTTTGAATGTGTAATTCCAGGGTTTGGGTGTGCAGTTACGTGGTTTGAGTGTGCAATTCCAGGGTTTGGTTGTGCAATTCCATGTTTAGGGTGTGCAGTTCCATGGTTTGAGTGTGCAATTCCATATTTTGGGTGTGCAATGCCACAATCCAGACCTGCAGTGCCACACCTTGGACCTGCACCACAATGGGTCACAATTATGTCCCCACACTCTGTGATGGTCACTCCTCTGTCCCTGCAGCTCTGTGATGGTCACTCCCGTGTCCCTGTGTGTCCCCACGCTCTGTGATGGTCACTCCCGTGTCCCTGTGTGTCCCCACGCTCTGTGATGGTCACTCCCATGTCCCCACACTCTGTGATGGTCACTCCTCTGTCCCTGCAGGTCTGTGATGGTCACTCCCGTGTCCCTGTGTGTCCCCACGCTCTGTGATGGTCACTCCCATGTCCCCACACTCTGTGATGGTCTGTGATGGTCACTCCCGTGTCCCCACGCTCTGTGATGGTCACTCCCGTGTCCCCACAGGTCCCTCCTGTCGCGGTGCCCTGGCAGGGGCAGCTCTGCCAGCCCAGCCCTTCCTCTCTCTGTCCCCTCCCCGTGTCCCCTCCCCGGTGTCCCCCCCGTGTCCCCCGGTGCCACCAGCTCGTGCCACGTGTCCCTCGCGTGTGAGCGGTGATCTCAGCCCCGCAGCTGCGGGAGCCGCTCGCGTTTCCTGCCCGAGCGAGCTCCGGGTGCTCCGCAGCTGCTGCCCCGGCCCGGGCGTGCTCCGAGCGCCGCGGCTGCGGAAGGAAGGAACCCTGGCGAGCAGGGGATGCAGGCGGGGCTGCAGGGAGAGCTGCAGGGCTGCAGGGATGCAGGAAGAGCTGCAGGGATGCCGGGAGAGGGGCAGGGATGCAGGGAAAGCTGCAGGGATGAAGGCAGGGATGCAGGGATGCAGGCAGGGTTTCTCATCCCACTCCCAGCCCTTTTTAGCAGTGACAGCAGGGCACCAATGTCCCCAGCCAGGTGGGGACCCTGCCACACCTTGGATGTTTTGGCGGGACTCCTCTCTTTTAGTTTCAAACTCTCAGTTTAAAACTCCCCCGCTTTGGAAGCCCCATTTCCCCCAGCTGGGGATCTCAGAGCTGGGGCAAATCTCCTTTGTGCTGGCAGGAAAAGGGGCAGTGCCAGGCTGGGAGCCCGGGGCTGGCTCCAGTGGGACACTGGGATCAGCCTCCCCGGAAGCCCTTGGCAAGCACCAGCAGTGACCTGAGTCAAGAAGAAGAAAACTGGGCCTGAAACTTGCACAGGACCCAATCAAACTTGTAAAAATAACATTAACCCAGCAAAATGGGGGATCTGAACTGTGGGGAAATTAATTAGGGACAGATCTTGTTGTGTGTGGTCATTAACCAGGGGGAAATTGGGAGGGAGGGGAAACGTGGAGAGGGTTTGTTTTTTAGGTGGAGGAGAAGCTGGGTCTGTGTCAGGCCGGTTCCTCTCCATCACAGGCTCCTGTTTGTGTCCTCTTGGGTTGCAATTACAATCTTTCAGATCAGACACAAAATCATTGGGCTGGAGAGCCAAAAGTACCTGGCTAATGGGATTAACAGAAATTAACCTGGTTACGTGGGGACTCCATCGAAAATGAGAAAGTGCTGATGGCCAAAATCAATTCCTCCCCAGCCAAATGACTGCAGGCCTGGCTTAGGGTTTCAGTTTAATGCTCAGCCCTCCAACAATGAGCAGGGTGGTATTGAATTAGGCCCTGATCGTGGAGTTCAAGTGATGGCAGTGGTTTGTCTTTAATGCCAGCAGAGAGCCAGGGGGGAAAATGGGAAATCCTCCCTGCTTTTTCCTGGAATCACAGGGAGGGTCCTGCTGGGTGTCCCTGTGATGGGCAAAGAGGGAAATCCTCCCTGCTTTTTCCTGGAATCACAGGGAGGGTCCTGCTGGGTGTCCCTGGTGCTCTCATGAGGAGCTGCCTTGCCCAAGCCCTCCCTGCCCATGCTCCAGCCCGGGATCAGAGCTGGAATTGGGGCAGTGGGCTGGGAACAGTGGGGTGGGATGGGATGGGATGGGATGGGATGGGATGGGGTGGGATGGGATGTTTTGGGATCCACAGTGGGATGGGGAAATCGGTTGGGATGGTTTGGGATCCACAGAGGGCTGGGGGAGCAGGATGGCACAGTTTTGGATCCACAGTGGGATGGGATGGTTTGGGATCCACAGTGAGCTGGGGACAGCAGGATGGCACGGTTTGGGATCCACAGAGGGCTGGGGACAGCAGGATGGCACGGTTTGGGATCCACAGCCCCACGGGCTGATAAATCCCAGCCTCCCAGGCAGGGCTGCTCCTCTCGGAGCCTCTCCGAGCCTGCGGAGGGGGCGGCTCCCGGCGGCTCCCGGCAGCTCCCGCCCGGTCTCATCTTTTCCCCTAAAAGCCGGAACCTGGCGGGGTTTCCTGGCTGAGAGCAGCTCGGTCGTTACCGTGCATGGGAAATGAAGCAGATTTTGTGTTTTATCGCACAAACCCGGCGCTGCGCC